ACTCATACACATAAAATAAAAATAAATAAATTAGGGTTGGAGAGAGGGCTCATTGTTTGGAAGCACTTATTTGTTCTTCCAGAGGACGTGAGTTCAAGTCCCAGCACCAATATCAGGTGGCTCAAAACTGCCTGCCTATAACTCTAGTTCCAGGTATTCAGACACCTTCTTCTGGCCTCCATGGGCACTCCCACCAACACAGATATACACATAAATAATTTTTTGTAAAAAAAAAAAAAAATCTTTGAAAAATCCTCATTTTTTTTTTTCATTCTGAATCTAGTCTATCTATACAAACAGCATAGGAAGGCACAGACCCCCTGGAGACAGCAGTCCTGTTCTCACAGTGGCAGAGGCCTATATACAAGGGCCTAGGCACTTCTACACAAGTGACACAAACATAAATCTTAGAATTTTCTAGTTTTCTTAGTTGAAGACTTCTGAGTCTACGGAGATACTGTTCACATCCAAAGACACCGAACACAAGACAAATAGTTACATTGTTTTATTTATCATATAGAGAAGACTATGTCAGTTTGGGCCACTTTTGTTCAAAAGGCTTTCTGACCATCTACTTTGTCTTTTAGTTTTAAATATGTATTTGTTTATTTTGTGTGAGTGCACACAAGTATACCACATCACACATGTGGTGGTCAGGGGCAGGAGTTAGTTCTCTCCTCCTACCATGTCTCAAAAACACAAAAACAGGGGCTGGACAGATGGCTCAACAGTTAAGAATATTGGCAGTTCTTACAGAAGATTGGGGTTCGAATCCCAGCACCCACATGGCAGCTAACAACAACTGTCTGTAACTCCAGTTCCAGGGGATTTGATGCCCTCTTCTGTCCTCCATGTGCACTGCATGACATGGGTGCGCTTACACACATGCAGGCAATACATGCACACACATAAAATAAAAATAAAAATCCCATAAAAACAAATATCAGTATTGGGGGCTGGGGAAATGATGTAGTGGTTAAAAGCACTGGCTGTTCTTGCACGGGGCTAGAGTGATGGCTCAGCAGTAAAGAGCACTGGCTGCTCCTGCAGAGGACCCAGATTTGGTTTCCAGCACTCACATGACAGCTAACTCCAGTTCCAAGGGATTTGTTGCCCTCTTCTGGCTTCTTCCAGCATTAAACACACAGGCACACTTACACACATGCAGGCTCCTTCTACCTTCAAACTCAGGTCATCAGGCTTGGTAGCAAGTCCCTGAACCCACTTGAGGCATCTTACTGGCTCTGGTCTTGTTTTTAATTTTTTTCAGACAGGACTGTACCTAGGCTATCCTCAAACTCATTATATAGACAAGGATGACCTTGAGCTCCTGATACCTCCTGCCTCTTCCTCCCAAGTACTGAATTACAGCTACGCACCACCATGCCTAGCTGATCACCTACTTTTGTTCTAGATATTGTCTGAGGTACTGATATAACCTTCCCACAGGGGGAAAAATGTATGTTCTGCTTTTATTTCTGAAGACATCTGACAGAGTAAACAAAAACCAAAGAAAAATGAGGTAAAAGGCACCAAGGCAGCTAGCTACTCTAATGGTAGCTTAGAAAAATGCTTCTTTGAGGGGCTAACATATAAACTTAAACCTGGATTAAGCCTATAATACAGACTTGAAGTAAAAGGAAAATGGGAGCTGGGCGTGGTAGCACACGCCTTTAATCCCAGCACTTCGGAGGCTGAGGCAGGTGGATCTTTGTGAGTTTGAGGCCAGCCTGGTCTACACAGCGAGTTCCAGGACAGCTGGGGCTACAAGACCCTGTCTCAAAATGACAAAAAAAAAAAAAGGAAAATGGGGTGGGAAGTTCCAGGCAGAGAGCAGCAAAAGCAAAGGACAAAATGAAGCTTAATATATTGGAAATGTATCAAGGAGGCAAGGCTAAGTGTACTGATAGGAACAACCTAAGTAATGTATCTTTGAATTGAAGATCTAAGAATATGAGAATCATTTAAATTCTCAAACTTTCCCAACACTGACCACTAAGAATTTATCATAATCAGATTAACATCCCAATTTTAAGCCAGATATGGTAGAGAATGTCTGCAAATCTCAGCACTGAGGTGGCAAAGGTTGAAGGGTTGCCACAAATTCAAGATCAGCATAGTGGGTTTCAGGCTAGTCAGGCCTACCTAGCAAGGTCCTATCTCAAAACAAAACACAACTGCCAATTTTATGCTCTCCCTTATCTTACTGTACTCACAGCTGCCCATAAGGTAAACACCATATATTTTTTTAAATTTGCTTTCATTAAATTTAGTTGTATTTCATATAGAATATCTCAATCTGAATCATCTTTATAGCTCTATCCCCATCAGCACCCTCCCACAGCCCCCCACTGCAACCCATATACTCTGTCCTGGGTGTTAAGGCCCACTGTAAACACCATATTTTAAACTGACCCCCTAAAAAATGACCATGCCTGTTATCCATATTATTACTTTATATAGTATGACCATAAGACCAAAAAGCCCTGGCTGCTAACTTGGATTCAAATTCAGATTCTATCAGTTATATGACTTTGAGCAAGTTGCATAATCTTTCTCAGTTCCCTCATCTGTAAAATACAACAGGGTGTTTTAAAAAAAAAAAAGAAAGATGAAATGTGACACAGACATCATTCAGTAACTATTAGCTACTGCCAGTAAAAGTACTTGAGAATTTACTTTGTTCAAGGCTGAGCCAGAGGGATAAAAAAAAACCCTACAATTTGCTAAACTGTTTGAAAGATAAATCTGTCAAATTCCCTTAGGTACTTTTTTTTCCTGGCTTACCACTATCTTTCTTGAATCTAGAACAATGCTTAACATCCAGTAGACATCAATCTCAGTATCTGTTAAGTGAATGCATGAATGAATGAGATCTATGTCAGGAGTTTAACACAACCTGGTTTTGCAAGAATATGAGGTTTTCATTTGTTCTTGAGTTTTGCTGTTTTGGTTTTTTTTTTTTTTTTTTTTAAGACAAGCTTTCACTCTGTAATCCAGGTTGGCCTGGAATCCACTATGTAGCCCAGGCCGGTCTCCAATTCACAGCAATCCTGCTTCAGTCTCCCACATGTTGGGATTATGGGCATAAGCCACCACCCATGGCAAGTTTTCATTCTTCATCAAGATTTTTAATTCTATCTAAAGGTACTGTCAAAGAAGCTATTTTTTAATTGTTTCCTTCAAACCCAGGTGCTGATAATATTAAGGTATTCATATTTACTGAACTGCTAAAACTGAACTGTCAGCTTTAGACTGTATCTATAATGGAATTACCACACACCACTCTTCAAAATTCAAAGGTGATTATCAAAACTTTATAAGTAATAGAGAAGAAAAGTATATGGCATGCTTTGGAATACCTTTGCTTGTCATCACCTTAAGTGAACAGCCTTTAAATACTTGTGTAAAATTATGTGGCTAGAGAGATGGCTCTGCAGGTAAGGGTGCTTGTAGTCAAGCCTTATGGCCTGAGATCAATCCCCAGAACCCACGTGGTGGAAGGAGAGAACCAACTCCAGCAAGTTGTCCATTGACCTCGACATCAGCTACAGGATGTGTATCCACCCCCCTACCCGCCAAATAAATGCAAAAAATATATATATATATTTGTTTAAACTTTGTGAAAAAAATTTTTCCTCACAGGTTTACCAACTAGGTTTCATTTATGTTGACAAATTGATTTCTCTTTTATCTATATCATTAGATTTCATAACATTACAATTTGTCCAGTCACTTTAGAAAAGTCTAATGTGATTGTTAAGATTCATTTGCTCTGTAGGTCATAGAAGGACTTTTCAGGGTGATGAAAATGGAGAAAAGAGAATTCACCTTTCTAAAAATGAGTTTTCCGCTCTATAATTATGCATAACATAAGGCAAGTCATCATATCTGGGCCAAGATTTAATGTCTTGGTTCCCAAGAGAATTAGAGTCATGTATAAATTTGGGGCAAGTTCTGCAAAAACTTCTATTGATGCTGGAATCAAAAACTCATTGTTAAGAGTCATCAACACGAATGTATCTTCTAATACATGGCAGCCACTCTGGCAACATCCCTCATCATTTTCTATGCAATAAACAAAATGGGATGCATTAAATCCTGACAATTACCACGACTTCGGGTAGCTAGCTCAACGGCAATGATTTGTTAAGAGCTAAAAAGTAAAAATCTTATTCAACGATCCTTAAAGTAACATGGCCCGCCTAGTCTTCGAGGCAGTTGCTAGGCTATTGTATTTCTCCCCAAAACCTTCAGGGCTGCAAAATACATGAACTCTACTGACACTCTTTGAGGGAGAAAAACCAAGGCATCAGGGCGGGGCGGTTAATGTTCAGAATCGGTCAACATCATCCCAGGTAGGGGATCAGGTGTGGCGGCAGGCCTGGGCATCACTGTCCTTGTCACGCCAGGAGGCGACTAGGCCCTTCACGGCCACCGCAGCCCTCACCGGCTCTTATTCATTCATTTGACAATTCGGCGAGGCGTACCCCACTACGGGCCTGCACGCCCGGTTCCCGCGTCAGTCCAGCAACACCTCAGCCTCCAGGGCGGCGCCGCCCGCGCCCCTCAAACACTGCCACCCGCACCCCGCTGCGGAGCGTTCGGCTCCCCGGCGCCCCAGCCCGGGTCTCCGCCGCACGCGAGCACCCACGCCCCCCACCCCGCCAGCCGCGGGTTCCCCGGCCTCCACCCCGCTTCGCCGCCTCAGACCTGCGGGGTTTGCTGGGCCGGGGCCGCGCGCGTCCACCGAGGGCTCCGCCTGAGCCTGAGGGTCCCCACTCGCGCGCGCCGCTAGGGCTCAGGGCGCAGGCCAGCGGGCGAGACCCACTGCCCACTCACCTCCGCCGGGTCAAAACCGAGGGGCCTGCTCTAAGCCGTTTAAAACCGCTTGGGCCGCCGCACACCCCGCAGTGTCCTCGTTGTTTATTGGTCCTCTGCGCACCGCCTGTCGCCCTTTGATTGGTCCGTTTGAAAGCACTCTGGGCACGCGCCGCCCGTGGCCTTAAAGGGACCACACACACAGCCCCGTTCCTCCTGAGCTCATGAAGCTGCTTGTTCTGGTGGCAGTCACAGGCTGGAGGGAGAGCTACGCACGACCTGCGAATGAAAACCGAAAGGTGTGTGCAAAATTGTGCATTCCTGTTCGTTGGCATGTTGGCTTTCCTTTACTACAGCTGTTTAAACTGCTGTCAACATCTGACCTTACTTTTTGAGTTCTTATATCCACAAATATTGATTGTGCAGTTCCGTGTTAATAGGGCATCAGGAGGTTGAGATGTGGTGGAAGGAGCTGGGAACTCAGGCAGGATGCTACATTGTAGTCTTCGACTTCCTTTGGGCAAATCTCATTTCTCCGTTAACCTGAATTTCAGTCTACTCCTGTAGGAAATGGAATAATGACGGTTTCCTTACAAATTTAATGTGAGGATTTAATATAACAAACCGAGTGTCTGGGAAAAGACTTTATGAACTAATGTCGTCTTCAAATGTTTATTTTTATTTATATATTTTTGTTTGTTTGAGACAGGGTCCCCCTATAGCCCCAGCTGGCCTGGAACTCACTCTGTAGACCAGGCTGGCCTTGAACTCACAGAGATCCGCCTGCCTCTGCCTCCCGAGTGCTAGGATTAATATTTTTATTTATTTCTTAAAATATTTTATTTATTATTTTTATGTGTATGAGTATTAGGCCTGCTTGTATGTAAACGCACCCATGTCCTGCAGTGCCCACAGAGGTCAGAAGAGAGCGTCGGATCCCCTGGAACTGGAGTTACAGATGGTTGTTAGCTGCCATGTGGGTGGTGGGAACCAAACCAGGGTCCTCTGCAAGAGCTGCTAGTGCTCTTTACTGCTAAGCCATTTCTTCAGCCCTAATTCATATTTTTAAAATATTTTATTATTTTTATTTTATGTCTATGAGTGTTTTACCTGTATGTATATAAGTGCACCACGTGTGTGCAGTGCCCACAGAGGCCAGAAGAGCCCCCAGAACTGGAGTTATGGATGGTTGTTAGCAGTCATGCGAGTGCTGGGAATTGAATCCAGGTCCTCTAGAAGAACAGCAAGTGTTCTTAACTGTTGAGCCATTTCTCCAGCTCCCAAATGTTTGTTTGTTTGTTTATTTATTTATTTAATTTTGGTTTTTTGAGACAGGGTCTCCCTGTAGCTCCAACTAGCCTAGAACTCACTATTTAGACCAGGCTAGCCTCGAATTCACAGAGATCTGGCTGCCTCTGCCTCCCGAGTGAGTGCTGGGACTAAAGGCATGTGCCACCACACCCGGCAATTATTGTTCCTTATGTTTTGTTTTTATCTATCAAATTGGCAGAGATGAAAAAGTTCAACCTTTAGTTGGTTAAAATTTGCAGAAGAGCTGAGTGTGGTTGGTCACACCAGTAATCCAAACACTCTGGTGGATTAGGAAGCCTTGGCAGGGGCTGCAGGAGACTCTGCCCCAAAATATAATAAAAAATGATTGGGGAGGGGCAGCTGGCAAGATGGCTCAGCGGTTAAGAGCGTTGACTGCTCTTTCAGAGGACTGGGGTTCAAGTCCCAATACCCACATGATGGCTAACAGCTGTCTATAACTCCAGTTCTAGGGGAACTAGCACTCTTTTCTGACCTCCATGGGCCTTACACGACATGGGTACACCTACCTACATGCAGGCAATACACTCATACACGTAAAAATTTAAAATAAAAATGAAAAGTAAAATAAAAAAATGATTTGGAGAAATGAATGCTCAAATTCTCTGTTGAGCTGGAGTGCAAACTTTTAGGACAACTTAACAATTACTATAATGTAAACTCTACAGATTCTCTGGCCCAGTAATGTTACTATGAGACATTTATTTTACAGTTTTATGCACATATACAAAGAAAAATGTACAAGAATACTTACTGAGAAAATAGGGAAAAATATCTTGAAATCACATGGCTATCAATAGGAAACTTTTACATAAATTATGAACTATTTACTCAGTAGAACACTATGCAGCTGTACAAAACGGATGTGGTTAAGGTGCTGGAGAGATGGCTCAGTGGTTAAGAGCATTCACTGCTCTTGAGGAGGACTGGGGTTTGAGTCTTAGAACCCACATGGTGGCTAACAGCTGTCCTTGACTCCGGTTCCAACACCTTCTTTTGGCCTCCACAGGCACCAGGCACATGCATGGTACACTTACATACGTGAAGGCAAAACACTCATACATATAAAATAAAAAAAAATGCAATTTTTAAGAAAAAAGAAAGGATGCAGTTAATTGGGTTGGGGAGATGGCTCAGTGGGTAAAAGTGGTTGTTGTGTAAGCATGAGCATCAGAGTTTGGATCCCCATCACCTGTATTGGGTATGAAAATGTACTGCTGTAACCCCAGTGCTGGGGGTGGGTGGCCCAGACACCTGAGCTCACTGGCCAGCCAGTCTAGGCTAAATAATCAGCTCCAAGTTCAGTGAGAGAACCTGTCTCAAAAAGTAAGATGGAGGGGCTGGAGAGATGGCTCAGCAGTTAAGAACAACCAGTGTTCAAATCCCAGCACCCACATGGCAGCTAACAACTGTCTATAATGCCATTCCAGGGGATCCAACAGCCTCTTCTGTCCTCCGTGGGCATTGCACAACACGGGTGCACTTATCTACATGCAGGCAATACATGCATACACATAAAATAAACATAATAAATAAAATAAATAAAATATTTTTTTAAAAAGTAAGATGGAGAACAATGAAGGAAGACATGAACATTGATCTCTGGCCTCCACAGGCACACACACCTGCACATTTGCACACACACATATATGTTACCCACACATATGCACCCTCAAAAGAATGTGATTATATTTGCTGGGGTAGAAAAATAAACAAATGCTATATTATTCATTGAAAAGAGGCAAATTTTAGGAAAAAGTTATATGGGATGATTTTATTATATGTGGTTGTGGTTGTGTGTGTGCGTGCACACGCCTGAAGATGGTTAGAGCATTTATGGAATTATAAGGGACTTAATAGAAGTGGGCTTGGCAGGGAGAAATTTTTATATTTTACCATTGATATGAATGGAGCATGGAGAATGTCAAGTCAGGCAAAAGCAAGAGCTCAGAGGCAACAAAGCATGTTGTATGTATGGGACTGGACTTATGGATTTGATTTTAAGAAAAGATTTATATTGGAAAGTAATGGAACACAAGATTGACAAAGTTGTGAATTATTCTTAAGATTGACAAAGAAAGTTAAGAAAAATTCATGGAGGGTCTTAAATACCAGGCTAAGGATTTTTTCCTTTATTGAGTAGGTGATAGGGAACCATTGAAAATTTCTGAACAAGAGAATGATAAAAATCAGGACTGTAGAAAAATTAGTTAGCTTTATTGTCTAAAATGAGTGAGGGCTGGAAGCCCAGTTTGGAGTTTGATATGCAGCACTGAAAAGGATAAGGACAGATTCAAGAAAGAGTAAAGGATTTAGTAACCAATTAGATTAGGTACAAAAGTAAGGGTGGATCCCATTTAGAAAGCTGAGTCAAAGGAACTGTCTAGATTAGAGCCCAGAGTCTGGGAGGGTAGTTACTGCCCATATAGCAGTAAAAAGTCAGAAGAGGTCTGTCTCAAGGGGAAGGTGGAGAGTTTAGTCTTAGACTTGTTTACTTTCAGGTACCAATGAGACGTTCAAATAGAATCAGCTCAGCAGGTCTGGAAAATACCAAATGGAAACTGGGAGAATAGATTTGCTCTTAAGTGGTATTGATTTGGGAATCACTTCTATAAAATGATTGAGGCTACAGAGAGGGAAAAGACAGGAGGGAGTAAAAAGGTAGGCGAGAACAGATCCACATGCAGGACAAGGAGAGGAACCAATCTTAGCAAACAGTAACCTTTGAGAATTAGGTAAGGAATACATAGAAATAATCTTCAGGCATTGGTCACTGGCATACTTACTTCATTTAAATGTTATCATACATAATCTGAAGATGACGTTTAAAGAGAGGTTGATGGCTGCCTCAAATTTGTTCCGTGTAGGATGTGTTCAGTCTGGGTCTTGGAGAGTTTTGGAACGAGATGGCAAAATCTCTTTTTGTGTGCACTGTTGCAGTGTAGTCTTACTAGGAGATGGGCATTAGATATCTGAATCCATTCATTTCTTCATTCAACAAATTATTTTTTTAATTTTTTTTTATGTGTACGAGTGTATTGCCTGCATGTATGTGAGTGCACCCATGTTGTGCAATGCCGCGGAGGTCAGAAGAGGGCTTCGGATTCCCCTGGAACTGTAGTTAAGGACAGTTCGTAGCCACCATATGGATGCTGGGAATTAAACCCGGGTCCTCTGCAAGAGCAGTCAGTGCTCTTAACTGCTGAGCTATCTCTCCAGCCCCATTCAACAAATATTTATTGAATACCTAGGATGTGGCGAACTGTTCTAGGCATTTTGAATAATCAGTGAACAAAATAGACCGAAAATATTTCCCTTCACTCAAGGAACTTACATTATATTGAAGAGACATAGACAACCAACACATAGCTGAGTTTTATAGTATGTTATTAGACTATGGGCAGGAGGAAAAAAGACTGGGTGAAAAGGACAGGGAAGTGGATTGGAAAGACTTGAGTGTGTGTGTGTGTGTGTGTGTGTACATGCCCACATATGTGGGATCCAGGGGTAGATACTGAATGTCTTCTTCAATCCCTCTACACTTTATTTATTATTATTATTTTATGCAGGGTCTCTCACTGAAGCTGGAGCCTGCTAATTTGGCTAGACTAACTGGCCAGCAAGCCTCAGGGATGTTCCTGTCTCTCCATCTACATATAACACTGGGATTATAACTACACACTACCATACCCAGCTTTTTTACATGGGTGATTGAACTCATATCCTCATGTTTACTAAGCCATTTCCCCAGGTCCCTAAATACTATAATTTTTTTTTTTTTTTTTTTTTTTTTTTTGGAAAAAATTCCTGTAAAAAATACCCCGGCGGCCGACTCATGATGTAGACCAGGCTGGCCTTGAACTCACAGATCCACCTTCCTCTCTACCTCCTAAATGCTGGGATTAAAAGCATGCACCACCATACCTGGGAAGACTGTAATTTTAAAAAATATTTTATAGCCAGGCACGGT